TTTTTTTTTTCAAAAAATGTCAAAAGAAATGAAATATTTCGAAATAAAGCTAAAAAATGAAAAAAGTTTGAGAAAGTATTAATTCAGGAACACATTAAAAAAAATTAATTCCAATTTTTTTCCATAAGTTGAAAAGCTTCAAAAATTCGGGAAAAAAAGTAAACTTTTTTCTCAAAATTTCAATATGCTAGCTTATGACTTTCTTAAAATCCATTGATGCTAACTTTGTATCTATCGGAACTCGGAATAACTTTATAATATAAAAATCATTCATATGTACAACGTAAAATCACTGAAAGTATAATTGTATTGTTAACAATTATGTCAAAGAAATTGGTCAATGGAAAAAATATGCCTTTTCATTCTTTTGATATACGTTTTCAAGAATACCGTCAATGATTATTATCAGATGATCCCGTCCATAAAAGATAAGATATGCCTTGCTTTATTCTTTAATGTACGATTCCAGGAATACTGTCAATGATTATTATCAGATGTTTTATGATCCTTTGTTAACTTTACCACACCATCAACTGTTTACTTCATCATAGACAGTGCTCATAAGAGAATCATCCAATTCAAAAGGAATATTGCGTTTCATTTCCTATTTTTATTTCTATCACAATCAATTCACGAGAGTGAGGCAAGAGAAAGACGAAGTGATTACTGGCATTTGATTTGGCTCAGTTCCACTTAGGACTAAATATAATTAAGCTGTTACTCCGAAAAGTACTAATCAGGATAATGCATTTCGTTCAGTAACTTTGAACAATAATTTAGCCTATGTTATCAAACAAAAAATAGATGCATTGAGCATTGTACCGTAACTAACATAAGGCAATAATTTTGAAGTATTAAACGAGTGAAATATTAATAATTAATCCCAATCATTCTGAAATTCCCGAAAAACTACTAAACTACAATTAGGTGATATAGTCGTTTCTGTTTCCGGAAGGCACAGAGCCTGTTCTTCTATCCATCTTCATTCTTTACTAACGGCTGATTTTCTATCAATCGATCAAATCTTCCTTTCATTCGCTCTATCTAAAAGATCTATTTGCCTTCCATAAATATTGCCAATAATTGTTTAATGTTGTATTTTCTTGCACTCAATACGACTATTTCAAAATCTGATTAGGTAAACTTCAATTTCAATTATAAATTTTTCTTCAGAGAAATCTTTTAATTCTAATAAGTTAATAGCAATTTGTCTTTAGAAATTACGAAGCAGAAATGAGCAAGATTTTTATTTATGCAAAATCTCTGTTGAAAATAATGTTCTAAACGAACCTAAACAATTCATGCTATTTTTCATCTTTCAAAATACAAATTTCTTTACAAAATATCAATTTATCAGGTTCTCAAAAAAAAAAAAAATCCAAATAATTTCTGCGCAAATAATTTCAGGTTGTCAGTCACAATGTATTTTTTCGGTATACTGCTATTGGTTGTTTGCTCTATTTTCGTGGTCCAAGTAAGTACAGTAATTCACTGTTTCTAAGGCAAAAAATTATGCTTGAAGAGAAATTATTTGCAAATTTTGTTTTCAGGCTTGTTTTCCATCACAGATGAATGGATTACAAGCACAGCCAGGACCACCAGGACGAGATGGCAAAGAGGGACCTGAAGGACCGCTGGGAAGGATGGGGAATGCTGGCCCGAAAGGTGAACGGGGACAGCGGGGACCACCGGGGGAGCAAGGTGAGGCGGGTGATAGAGGAGAACCGGGGCCAAAAGGACTGAAAGGTGAGCGTGGACCACAAGGACC